CCCTTTGTTTTGCAAAGGATATGATTGCAATATAGATGTGTCAGTTCTTCCCCAGGTAAGAGGTATGGAGAAGTGGCCAGTTACTTGGGCTTCTTATAACAGAAGAAAATTCAGTTCCCCTATGGGGTGTTGCCAACATAGTTGATATTACAGAAGGTTGATGGATTATTGGCTCCTCAATTGGAATTTATGATTCCAGGATTCATTTTTAAAAACAATTCTTTTGTACTAGTAGTGTGAATCTTGAATTTGGGAAACATTGAAGAACAGGTAGTCCAGTTTTATAGATGCTGAAGGTTGTTCCTTTAACTGCCAGAACTTTATTTTAATTGTGTTTTTGTGGAAATCTTACATAACTTATTATGTACTTTCCTACCATCTAGTTAAAAAAAAAATACTGCATGCTCAATTTTGACATACAGAGAATACAGAAAAATTATTTATTTGGTAAATATTTGTCAAACACTTAATGTGTCCACGTACTGTATTAGTTGTAGAGGATATAATTATGAATATAAGCAACACATTGTCCTTGTCTTTATGCAACCCAATCTAGTATAAAAAACAAATAAAAATCAGGGTTTAATTTTTAAAAACTGCAATAAAGTAATGATATAAATAAATCATGCTCCTAAAAATTTGAAGCTATGTAGAAGTATATAAAATAAAAGCAAAGCTTTTCCCACAGCCTTTCTTTAGAGGTAAACATACAGTTCTCAATTGGTTAACTTCCTAATCCTAATGTAAAATTAAAGTGCATAAAACCTGGAGCATTTAAAATGAAGACAGTGTTACACAAAGAAAGCCATTTCACCCAACCTATAGCAAGTTGCTTTGTACTTCTAACCCAATTTGGCAACTCATATGTTTTCAATGAAATTAATAAGTTGTTTCAGAAGAAAGTTATGCAGAATTTTACCTGTGAAAATTGGGGCAGTAGTACTTACCTAATAGACTTTTTAAAATTAAATGGTACTAAAAGGTTTATATAGAAAAACGATGGCCCTCTTTCTTTCTCTTTTCTGCTTACTAAACTAGCTTTCAGCATTTCTAGCTGTTTATACTGCTGTTTTCATTGTATAGTACCTGGCATTTCATTCATTCAGCATTTATTAAGTACCTAATACATACCAGTACCATGTGAGGAGATGCTAAAGATACACTGTTGAATACAGCAATACCCTAGTCTTGTGGGGTTTACAGAGGGTGTTTATTCCTAACCTTGAACCAGGTATTTCTTTTTTGCTTGATAATGCATTAGAATTCCATATAATTTATAAACTTTGAAACATGGTCACCTTGATCATAGGTAGGGACTTCTACCATATGATAAGTAGTATATTTATTCCATATGGCCACTTGCCATGTGGAAATCTATTGTCTGACTTTAGTTTTGAAACTTCTGGATACTGATCAGATAAAATAGTGGAGCTGTATATCCTTGTTCTAAGAATTGTCTTACTGTTATCTGCTCCAATCATTTGACCTGAGTTTCTGTACAGATTCCTAGGGAAACTAGATTTTCTTCCCTGTTTTTGCTTCCTGTTTCTTCTATTGCTACAAGAAGTATTTCATCTATGACTAAGATGACATCAGAGCAGAATGAGATGTACAGGTAAACACTATTGGGCTTTAGCAGAAGTAATATTTTTGAAAATGGTGCATGAATTCTGTATAGCTAAAATTTTCTGTTCAGCTTAATAGCTATAGATAAAGTTGCCGGTTTTTCTTTTTCTTTTCTTTTCTTTTCTTTTTTTTTTTACTTAATATCTTGCCATTTTAAAGACACCCTCATCATAAACCTTAGTATTTTGATTTTTCTCAGATTGTTTTTTGTACTTCTTAATCATTGTATTGTAGTCTTCTTTATCTTGGGACAAAAATAGTAAGTACTGATTTAATCAATTAACTGCCTTAGTTATGATATAAGTATTCAAGATCCTTTTGCGGTATGGGTTGGAAGTCAGTTGTTATACATGGTTTAAGGCATTAGTCACTTAATTTTCTTCTGAAACAACTGGTAGATTTCTTTAAAAACACTCTGGTTGCCAAATTTGCTTAGAAGTCCCAGTTTCCTGGGATAAAATGGGTAAAGTTGCCTTGTATTATGTAATTTACTTTTTATTTTAGATGACACATCTTTTTTGCACACTAATTTTGCACTATGATCAGGAAAATGAGAACTGTATGTCTGTAACAAATAGTTACCTCTAGTATGTAACTATTAAAAGGTAGACTTTGGACTGTAGCTGTAGCCTCTTTATGTAAGTAGAACATAGAATTTTATATATGCAATTGAGGAAAACTCAATATTATTGTTAAAAGACTGTCATAAATTGTATTCTTTATTGCCCTAATCATTGCCCCTAGTCTTAACACTTAGGCCTATCAATAAGAAAAGCAATGATAACTGGGGCCACTAAATTTTTACTTGAACTTAACTATTTACATTATCCTGTCAAAAGTGACAGTGCATTAGATTTTGAAACTATTGATCCATGATGACAATGATGGGAGATTTGGAGGACACTTAAAAAAAAATCTGACTATTTGGTAGGTGGTATTAAATAAAAAGTCCTTAAGACCCCCTATGGATCTTCTGTCTAATAGGGAGATAGGACATGAAATAACTGGTAAGCAGGAATTATACAAATAAGTATTAGGTCTCTTATAGGGTGTAACAGTACAGTACACAGATTTACAGATGTAGACTTTTTTCCTCCTGGCCTGGAGAACTGTTTGATCAACTCGTTTTGAATTAAGTCCTTTGGGCTGCTCAGGCACAAAATTAACTGCTGGAAAAGCAGATATTAAAGGAAAATTTAAGTATTAGTGGAGGTTGTTAGATATTGACCTTGTCCATCAGCAAAATTTATGTTTTTTTCCTCCCTCACTATTTATAGTTTAATAGCTGTTTATCATAGAGTTGATGTTTATTTTCATATAATCTGTTACTATAGGAAATCCATTATTGAACACCTAATAAGTACTAGATGTTTAAACAAAATTAGATCAATCCTTGCCTCATTAAGCTTACAGTCTAGTGGTGAACATAACCATTAATCAAAGAATAGTGTGAATAGGAAGCAGAACAGTGGTTGGCACAGTTGACAACTTGAGGGGCACAAGGAAGATTTTGGGGTGATGGAAATGTTCTGTGTCTTGTGATAGTGGTTACATGTGTGCACTTGTCAAAACATCTTGAGCTTTACATCTAAAAAGGATGCATTTTATTATATGTAAACTAACTAAATTGTTTAAAAGGATTAACTCCAATACATGTAAAATTATAGCTGGGATAAGTTTCACAAAGGAGAGTTGCATGGGCAATGAGAATATAATAGGAAGAATTCACTTAGGCAGGGAGGAAATGATGAGTAGAAGTAAATTAAGTGAAGGGTGGGGATTGGTGTCAAGGGGACAGTGTAATAAGAGTAACAATATGTGCCAAGGCCCTGAGGTTGGAAGATCCATGGCAAATTGAAGAAACTTGAAAAAGGCCATTGTGTGGAGGGCAGAAAATGAGGGAGTGGAAGTCTTAAGATGGAGCTAGAGGGGTAGGTAGGGCTAAACCTTGCAGGCCATTGTTAAAAACTGATTTTATCCTAAGCACAATGGAAAGCAATTGAAGTTATTTAATTATATGTTATGGAGTAGGGTGATGAGGGGATAATTAAATTGATTTTGGAAACCTACTATGATGGCTATAGTGTTGGGAATGAATTGGGGGAGCTAGGGTAGATTCAGGAAAAGAAATGATTGCCAGAGGCTGAGACCTGTAATTGAGTGGTGGTGATGGAGAGAGGTGGACAGAATTGAGAATGTATTAGTAGGTAAAAATGACAACTTGGTGATGAGTTAAATGTGGAATGAGGGAGGTGTCAAGAATTGCTGGTTATGTGGTTTGCCTATTAGAGTGGATGGTAGGGAGCACTGAAGAAGACGTTTTGAAGAGTGGGTGTGAGAAGGATGTGTTTGGTATTGGACATTTTGGAAACATTTACATAAAACAAGTGACCATATCTTTTATCACTGAGCTCAGCATTTATTGAGCCTTTTGTGCAGTGTGCACAGTGCTAGTGGCATGAGCTACAAAAATAGATGTTTAGTTTGTTACAAGTACGTAAATAACCATAAGGAAAAATAGAGCAGACAGGGACATTGTCTTACAGGTAAATTAATATTTATGTCTGTAATTTCTTGCATTTTGGATGAATGTTTTTGTCGGGTCCTCTAAGTCCAAACTTTTGATCTGATTTTAAGTTATGCCTTTGAATTCCTGAGGCATCTTCACACGCCACCTACATTCCTTATGGAGCTGTGCCACAGCAGCAGGCCCACGACGCTTCCCTGGATTAGTAAAATAAAACAGACACCCATTCTTTTATTGATATACTGTCTCTTCCTCTCCTAATTCTCCCTCCAGGCAACATAAACAACTTTCTGGAAGTAAGCAAAAGCACTTACCAAGATGAAACTGGGTTCCACAGCTGCCAAAATATTGGGGATGGGCAACTAGAAACCAGGGAGTGTAGGTGAAGCACATTTGCATCTGTTACCAGGTCCTCCCCCAGTCTCCACCCTATGGGGAAGACCCCAGGGTCCCTGAAGTGTAGCGGAGCTTCCAGGAGCGACGACCTCCCATTCCAGGGGCTGTTGCTTCCTGTCCTGAAGCTTAGGACCAGGTGCGAGCGCGAAGACCCCAGCCCCCAAGGCCAGCCGTGTGCTTCGCGAGGCGGCGGCCGGGCCGGACTGGGTCTGGGCAGGGGATTCGGGCCGGGGACCAGCGGCTGGGGAGCCGAGCCCTTCGGGTGCCCGTCCGTTGCCTCCCGCTCTCTCCAAAATTGGTTTAACCGCCAATCGGCAGTCGCTTACCTCCTTTCGGGCCAGTGACCCATGGCCAATCACGAGGGGTCTCTTTGCCAGAAGCCGGCAGGACCAGCCAATCAGTGCGGCCTCTAGACCGGGGCTGGAGCGGGGCGGGGCAAGAGTAGGGAGTGAGGGGCGGGGGGTGGTGGTGTCCCGAGGGACCTGCTGAATCTGGCTGGACCCACTGCGCCGCAGCCTGGGGATCCGGCCGAGGGAGCGAGAGGAAGGGGGCCTCGGAAGCGGCCCCCGGCTCCCTGCCCTGGAGGCACAGAGGGCGGGGGCTTACGCGAATGGCTTTCTTGCTGGCCACTTGCAGAGTGAGTAGACCCCGAGGGTCTGGGAGAGTGGCCGGTCCCCACCCCTGAGTCCTCGGGTCCCTTCTGCCTGTCTTGTACCGGGCCGTGGGCGCGAGTGTCGCTCCCCCACTTCCTCCTTTCCGCTGCCCTCTGTGACCGCCCAGGCCCTCTAGTCCCAGGGAGCTCAATTCACTTTCCCGGCCGGAGATGGGTTGGAGGCTGAGGCTAGGGGCCTCTTGATCCACAGAAAGGTTGTTCGCCACCAAACCAGAGTGGAAAGCGTCTCTTCCCCTTTTTCGATTCATTTTTGAGGAACTTTATTTTCCTTTCGAAAGCTGTCTCAGATAATTATTTTAAACACAAAAGTCAAGCTTTCTCTTATGTGAAAGCTTAATTTTGACCAGTTGCCCATTAATAACACACTCTAATTGGCAGGCCAAACATTTTCTGTTCTTGTTTTATTTTTGGCACTGTGTTCTTGCATGGCCCAGTATTTTTGTGTGTAATAATTATGGCTATTATTTGTGAATATGAGTGTGGGAAGAGGTAATTTTATGCTTTTTGAGTACCTTGTGCAAAAATACTGAAAACTTTCGATAAGTTGTGTGAAGTTCACATAGATACTGAAGGGAAAAGTTTAGGTTTTCAGCACAGCTTAGTTATGGAGAATTGAGTATAATGAGTAGACTAGGAAACATGTTTGAATCGTGTATTTTTTTGGCATTCATACTGTATTTCACAAGTATTTTTGATATAAAAGGATGAGAGATGCATTGAACAAAAGATCTTTCTGTTAATTTGAAGCAGCATTTGGTTTTACTTTGTTGATTAAGCCATTTACTTTTAGCTTAATCAGGAAATTAAACATGAATAATATCTAGGCTTTTATTCTAAAATGGAAATTCTGGAATATCCCCTGGAATATGTAGGGTTTTATTAGTATATAAACTTTGTAGTGTGGAGTGGTAACTGATCTTTATGGAAATTCTGTAGAATGATTACTGTAATATACTTGGCCTAAAATTTTATTTAGGAAGATTTTTCATTGAGGGTTGAAACAAATTATATTTGAAAGAATGGTTCTTAGGTTGAAAATGTGATTAAGCCACATATCTCTCCCTAAATATGTTAATTATTTTAAGTTCCACAACACACAGGCAATTAGTCATTTAAAGACATTTTCCATCTCGCTTGTTTTCCAAGTCCTGTTAAATTTGCCTTCATAATAACTCTTGGATTTGGCCTCTGTTTTTCCATATGATAATGCTTTAAATCAGACCTAATCATTTCTTACATAGACTTCAGAAAAACTTTTTTACCTAGATTCTTTCAAAATCTTCTAACTAGTCTCCCAGTCCACTGGACTCCCTCTACCCATACTCTTTATCCAGAATCAAATAAGACTGAGTCTCTACTGTGTTTAAAAATCTGTATTGGCTCCCCTTTGCCACAGTACAGCTGCCTGTCATGTTCTTCAAGACCCTCACAACCTGGTCCTTATTTATCTTTTTTGAGTCTGAACTCAGCTGCCCTTGCTCTACCCAAGGCATTTGCCCTAGCTGAGAACTGTTAATCATTAGAACATTTCATAGCTGCTCATAGCTCTTTGTCCTTTTACAGCCTTTACCTCTTGCTTAGAATTGTAATTGCGCAGAATGCTATCAAGTTATGAACCTCCAGTTTTTCATTTAACATGCATTCGTATGTTTTCTTTGATTTATTCATTTCTTCAGGCAGAGTGACTTGTAATTACTCTTGTTCTTTGTGTTCTAACAGCTCTTTATTCATATCTCTATACTACAGATGTCACTAGGTTGTACTGTAAATTTTTTGTTTACGTATCTGATTCTTGCATTAGGCTATAATCTCTTAGAGATCAGAGATCCTCACTCATCTTTGTGTCCCCAGGGCCTTAGTCGTTAATTAGTCCAGTGCTTGGCACCTACTAAGTCGATGTTTGTTAAATGATCAAAATGCATGCTTTAACAACGTTCTAAGTGTGCAGACCTTTGTTTTGCTCAGTGGTACTGAGTTAGAGTTAGGTTTATCCCTGTGAATTAGAAATGTTTCCTAAGTCATCAAGCTCCCTGGTTGCTGCCACACTGAGACAGGTTTAGAGAAAATGTTTAGAAGCAGGTTCTAAGTGGTGTGCAGATTCCTAGGCAAACTCCCTCTCCCCAGTCTGTATGAGCTCTAATAAAGTTGAAAGAAAACTAATAGCAGTACCAGCCCTAATTGGTTCTGTGGTAGTTGGTATCATTGGAAAAAAAAGCATATTGCTGGGTAGAGAAGTCAGACTGCTTGGAAGGGGTGAAATTGATTGGAACCCATTCCCGAAGATTAGGTAATCGTCGATTATATTTGCTATTATCTATATTGTCCTTAAGATGTCCTTTGAAGACAGTGATGATACCTGGCATGTAATACATGAATATTTGTGTCATGAAGGAATGGTATTGTTTGCTCTGTGAGTGTGGAAGAGAACGAGGCAGACAAACTGATTTTGTAGTCTCTTCCACATTGGTGTTCATTTATTTTTGCAGGCACCTCTACGAACTTTGCTTCTTTGCGGTACTGACTGAGCAGCTCATTTTGTTTTTTCTAAAATGTGCCACTTCAACCAATATTCTGCTTACTCAGTTGTTTCTTCACACTTTCTGCATTCCAGAGCAGGTTTTTAAATCTGGTTTCATTAGTGTTTCTCACTTGGTGAGAAAACATTGCTTATGTTTTAACATTCTTTGTCATACTGTGGAGGACTTGGCTGCAGCTGGAACATTTAAGTTCTTATTGTCCTTATTTAAGTGAAATTAATTTTTTTCAAGTGAGTTAAGTGGACTCCAGGTTCCTCCAATATGGTGCACATGATTATTGACTCGGAGATACTGGCTTCACAGAATCCTAGAACTGGAAGGGATCTTTAAGTTTTAATTTAACCACTAACTATTTTTACAGTGGAGGAAATAGTCTCAGAGAGAAGCCAAGTGACTTGCCCAAGGTCACACAGTTAAGGACAAGAATAACCAGGTCTATAGCCCTGTGATTCTTGCTCTTTTATTATTTCTAGAGAGAATTGGAGTACTGCTCTGATGATGCTTTCCAGCTATTGCTCACCTCGTAATTTTTCCAGTTCAGCCAGTAATTTTGGTTTCCTTTCAGATTCAGCATCTGAATCTGAAAAATAATCATCTTACATAGTTCTCCAAGAGAATATTGTTCCTCATTTGGCCTCCTTTGCTTTTTAGCCTCTCTTTGTGCTTGTATTACTCCCTAATTCTGGGAGTATGTCTCCTGTGGTTATTCTTCATTTTCTGCCTTTTTTTTTGCTCTCCACTCCAGGCAGCTGACCTTTACAGCCTGTGTCATGAAGTGTCCTTTTTTCTCTGGTTTCTGGTTGGGTTTAACCAATGGGAGGCAGCAACAGAAGATGGAAGGAAGGAAAGAGTGAACCTTTTGGGTATTTATTCCCCTTGCTCCTCCTCTGTTTTGATGCATTTCTAGCAGTGGCTATGTCCTACAACTAGAGTGTCCTTTGAGTAGCTCTTCTTATTGGCCCAGAAGGCTTCCCCCTTACTGCTTATTTCTGGGTACCTTAGCATCCCTTGTTAGTTTCCTTAACCCTGCCCTCATTTCTCTAGTCACTTCATTAAAGAGAAGTTCAAACATCCCATCTCATTACACGGTTTCCTGCCCTGCCCAGCCCAGTGCTTGTAGTACTTCCTCCCTCCTCATCTCTGTCCAAGTTCTGCACTCTGAAATGCTACCTGTGAAACCTTTCTCTTGCCCTCAACTTTCTCCTTTGAATCTCTTAGTACCTTTTCCATAACATACACTTGTACCATGCTTGGATCAGTTACTTGCAGACAAATATTTATCTCAAAACTCTTAGAGATTTGAAACTCTTAGGACAGAGTCTCTATTTGCTTCATCTTGGCATCCAGTACAGTGCCATAATCCTGAGAGATATCCAGTGAACAAATCATTACTGTAACACTGAATTGTAACCCTAGAGTAGTATGGGTTTCCCCTGCTATCCGACAGTGTTGCTATAAACCCTTAGGCAAGCCAAAGTGGCATAAAGCAAAGAGCAAGTACCACTAACTTGTATGAGAAAATTTTTGAGCATTCCCAGACCCGAAAAATAACTTCTTCTAGGATTTTCTGATATCTTAGGACACATCTTGTTAACAGATGGCCAGAATAAAGTGTGATAAAGCTCACAGACCCAGTTTGAAGCTCTGGCGATTTGAGGCTGAGATGCTGAGTGTGGTTCCTGGGGGAGGCAGCTCTTGCTGCCTGGAGTGTGCACTGCCTCTAACAGCTCCCTGTAAAATAAGCGCTGAACACTATTTTAGCTTTTCATTACTAATAAGTGAAAATTGTCTTTGGATCTCTTTCAGTTGAAGAATACAAGTGCGAATGTAGGTATTTCATAAAAGCAAGGTGGCTTGTGGTGAACTTTCATAAAGCAGAATACCTGTATGTATAAAACTACTCATGAAAAGATTTGGCATGAGAAGGAGTTTTCAGAAACAAGTCAGTAGTCATTGTCTGCTCTTGTTCTTGTACTGCCTGTACAATACAATGTCTTTTTCCTTCTACTCAATTTTTTTCCTTAAAACCTTTTAATTATAAAAAAAATTCAGCTTGCATACTCATAATAAAACCTTTAGGATAAATGAGTTATTTATGATTTTTTCACAGATACTCTGATTTATAATCTGCAAGAACTTTTTGTTCTTTGATTACTCTTTATGTTTAAATACTAACAAGTACGCTCATTTCAGAATTCTTTAATTCATTAGTTTACAAAATTTTTATTGAGTACTTGCTACAAACCAAGTGCTAACCTGGGAGATACAGCTGAGAAAAAAAACCAAGTCCTGTCCTGTATATTTCAATCATATTTTAGACCATCTTCATAGGTTTCTGGCAATAATTTGATTAAATCAGGGTAATTTTATATTACAGTTTTAAGAGCTTTAACAAAAACAACCTGTTTCTTCCAACTGTTTGATATTGACAGCTAAAATCAAATATATAAAAACTGCTTTGGTGTATATAATTTTTAAGGGATAACAGCCAGGCCAATTATACCATCTCTTTCAGTTCAAGGTTGTTTTTGTTCTTTTTTGTTTGGTTAGTTTGTGTGAGATGTAAGCCTTATAGTACTAATTGTCAGTTGGTCTGACAGGTTTATCATTTAGCTCCCTTTGGGTTGTGTTTAATTTACAATTTATTATATTTTGCTATACAGAGAAAGCCAGTTTTGTTAGAGGGATATATCAGGTTTTGTTTTTAAAATATTTCATAATCAATTTCAACAGGTATTATGCTGGTGTATGAGAATTCTGCAGTTTTCAAAACTTGAACTACTAAAATACTCAGTTTTAAGGATTCATGTGTTCAATGTGAATTTCTCCTAGTTATATGTAGAGCCATTTCCAGGAAACTTAATAGTTCATGGTGGACCCTTAAAAACACTGAGACATTTTGCTTTCCAAAATGCTGATAAGCCGAATGATAATCTGAGGTAGGGGAAGGGGAAGAATGTATTTTTTCTGTCCCATACTGGTAAGCCATGCAGAGCTTATTTAGGTTCTGGAATGACTTAACCTATGATTTTTAAGAACGATATTGCCAGTAGCTTGACCAACTAGTGTGTGAAAAGAAAAGCTTTGGCTGATTGTCAACACCACATGTTTAAACAATACTTTGTTAGGGGGGGTAATGTAGTAGGTGTTCTGTTTTTTATGAGTTTGCTTTCTTGAATGTTGAGTCATGATCATGTTATTGGCAGGAAGGATGTGGGAAAAAAATGTAGGTATTCTGCTTTGTTTTACTGGCCATTATTCTTCTCAGCATTTATTCCATTATAGTGGGGATTTCTAATTTTTAAGTGCTTTTTTTTTGGTAATTTGTGCTTTTTAGCTGTAAATCATGTTATAAATTTATTATGCTACATTTTATTTTGCTTGGAAAGGTATATCTGAGCAGCTTCAACATTGCCTAATCTACTCTTTTGAGACATTTTAGGATTTTGTAGTTAATTTTAAAAGAATGCTGATGATTTTGCAAACCAAAATAGTTATAAAATTTTTGAAAAATATTTAGGACCTGCAGTTTTGGAGCAATTTTTGCATGAAACTTTTGAATTTAAAATGAATAAATAAATGTAAACTTACTAAAACTATCAGGAACATGAATATATAAAGTGAAAATTAAAAGAGTCCCTGTCTCAGATGCCCCCTTTCCTCAATTCCACTTCCTAGGAGTAATATATGGGTTTTATGTGTTTTGTTTTGTATGTTTTATTTCAGGAGTGTGTGTGAATGTGTGTGTGTGTAAATAAATTTTTAAAAATCTAACTTCTATATTATTCATTCTCCACTTATCTACCATAAGGTAAGAACTTAGTTAATATTAATTGACTTGAATTCTGGTGTCTGTTTTATTTTTATAAATTCACTTTCTACATTCAGAGTCTGTAAACTCATGTTGCATTTTACATTTTTTTAAAAGTAATTTGCTGCATTCTGAAACCTCTGAAGCACTCTTACATGCCTTCCAGATGTAGCTGTAAAATGCTAGTTACATCCTTTATAGAAAGGGAGACCAATCATTTATTGTCCAGACTGGTGCACTTTTAACAGTAAAGGAGGCTGCTGATAATTTGCCAAGACAACCGGCATAAACAGGGACTATCCCAGACCAACTAGGGTATATATATGGTCATCCTATTTTTAAACTTCAGACTTTGTTTCATTTAGTTTTGACAATAACATTTTCTGTGACCTTAATTGAATAAATTGGGAGAGTCTTTTGGGAAGATAAGCTATAATGATTTAAATACAGGAAAATGGTACAAATCCCAAACCTTTTTTGTAACAAGATCACTTTATGGAATCAATATTAGTGTTTTCTTCTCTAATGGTTATGTAACGGTGTCGGTATTAGATGAAGATACCATGAAGGGTAAGCAGTTTGCTAAGAGTTAAGATTAAAGTTCATGAATTCTGGCACTGGTGTCTGTACCTGATGCCTGTTTGAAGAAGCAGCTCTCTTTTGTCCTAACTATATGAGCAATTCAGATTTGTTTTGTGGTTTTTCTTTTTTTTTTAACAGAAACTCAATATTATGCATAAAGTATCTTCTTTATAAATTTAAAGATAAAACATTCTATTTTTCAAAGAACAAGCAAAATCAGATTCTTTTGTGGGGAAAAAAGAGGCTTTCTTTATATTGTTTGTTATCAAGATAGTAATTTAGTACAATTTACCTTTCGTGGTTCAGGCAAAATACCCCATACTTTTCTGAACATCTCATATGGAAACTTTTTTTTCTGATTTATTTTCCAAGGCTGTATTTTATCACTTATTCTGCCTATTGCTTTTATCTTTTTTATTACTACTATCTATTATGTTCTTCAGAGTTTATCAACTTAGTGTTTTCCTTTTTTAAAAGAATGCTAAGTACAATTTAACTTATGTTTATATCCCTTTTTTATTACGGCTTTCTATTAAAATTGCATGTCGTTCATGGTATTATCTAGTTACTAGTTTTGTTTTATCCATCCAGTATTCATTGAGTGCCTTCTTTATGTAATACATTAATTGAAGGCCTGGGGATACAGTGGTGAATCTGATTACTTATGATTCCAAAATACAAAGAGTAAGTAGAACACGTACTATTGTGTTATTTTACACATATTCTTTGTTTTATCTAGCCAACAGCATTGATTATAACCATTTATAAAACAGTAAACATTGGTTTATTATATCCATCCCTAGATGAGAAAATGTAGGGTGGAAAAATAACTTGGCTAGGTCATACATGTATTGGTTAGGAAGCTGCACACTCAGGCTTTAGAGCTAGATCAGTCTTACCTTAAAGCTTGTACTCATTTTCACTATATCAAGCTCCTTCAAGCAATTTCTAGATTATATTTTAGTGCTCATATGCTATGAATTCTTTTCAAATATCATTGTGATTTAATAGAAAAGTGTAATGGATTTGAAGTCATAGGACTGGGTTAAAACACCAATTTAAAAAATTCCCAGCTGGATGATTTGGGTAAAAACTTGTAAAATAGGGTTAATATCTATCTATCTTACTATACTGTGATAATGAAATGAGAAAATTTGGAAAGTGTCTAACAAAGGACCTAATACTCTTTAAAAAATTAGTCTATATTGTACATCCATGGTATTAGAACTGTTCACTTAGAACTACAGAAAAAGACCTTACCTTTTAGAGTCTTGGGGGTACCTAGCAGTGCTGGTAGGATAGCTTACAGATACCGTATAGAATCAAACTTGGAGACTTGGATTATAAGAATGGTGACCTAAGTGGAAAATACCTTCCTGAAGGTACAGTAGAGGAAAAAGTTTATTAATAGGCTCAGTTTTGTGGGCATTTTTGAATTGATAATTTTCCCTCCAAAAGAATTGATACCTGAGTATTCTTTAGGATTAAAAATAGGGAAGAATTCTTGATTGTGTATCAATGATACTTCAATAAAAAAATAAAAATAGAAATTCTTAACTTCAGAACTTCTCTATACCTTTAAATCCTGTTCTTCCTTTAGTTGAGGTGGATGAAATGCAGAGACAATGCTTATTTATTATAAGTATTTATAAATTTTCAGTAATCTAAGGAAATCACAGGTTAACATATTCCATATAAAATCATGATCTTACTAATATTTCTGGTTTCTTTAGTAACACTTTTGTTTATCATTAAGCCAACTTTTAAGTCATTTGGTAAGGAGACAAACGTGTCATTTCTCAAAGAACTTAATTCGCTAAAAATTTCTTAGGAACAGAAAAGCCATTAAGTTTTTTTGAGTGTATTTTTTTTTTTAACTTGCCACTTGCTGCTCATGTGCCTAAGTTTCTTCTGTGTAGTTACAGATTTTTCTCTACTCCTTTGTTATCGATGTCAGACTCACAGCATGGTAACTTTCTATTCTCTCTTTTCCTTACCTTTATGGAAGATCAGTACTACACTTGCTTTTTTCCAGTCTTCTGGTATCTCTCCAGTTCTTGAATTTTCAAAAATAATTGTAAGTTACTCAATTGTAAGTATGCCCTATACTTCTTTCATTGGACAAAAGCGTATCTGTGATGCATGTCATCTCAAACTGCTAATTGTGAACATAAACTTTCCAAATACTCTCATGTTTTAAATAAAATAACTTTTCTGCTGTTTTCATTATTTTAATAACAGGGTGTGTGTTTTGCTAATTTTTAAGAATCATCTACTTTTGTCTGGATTCATGCCATTTATTTTTCATTAGGAGACTTGTTTTCTTTGGTGTTTTTCCTTTGTTAAATTTTAAAGCTGTTTACTCCCTATTACAGTTCTACTATACTGGTTTCTTGTTATTCTGAACTTCTCTGTGATGCTTACATGGACTAATTTCTTTATTTCTAATATATTTTCCTTTTCTCTTTTTGCAACATATTTTTATTACAACTAGTTTATACTGTGTGAGAGAATACACACTGAATATAGGGTACTTAGTTCTTTAAGTTTTTGCTGTGAAACAAGTTTGATATGAAAATAATCACTCATTTGTGAATTTCTTTTTACAGTGTTATTCAGCCACAGCCCTTCCTGTTCTACATTATTTTCCTTAGTTCCTCAAATTACCCATAACTTTCTGATTTCCTGATTGTGACCTCAAGGAGACCTTAAACCACCTTTTACTACCTTTTCCTCCACTGTTCATTACTCTTCCTCTGTCAGCAAGAATTACTTTGAAAGCTCTTACTCCCTGCCTCAAAAATTGCCTACTGTACTGTTTTACTCAGGGTCTCTCTCTAAAGCAGCTACAATTCATAGCATCTGACAGTTTTAAGGACATCCCTTGTAGTAGTCTTCTTTGCAGTGGGGTGAAGCATTTGGTTATACGTATATAGTAAATATAAATAGTGTTTAATATGCCAACTGAAGTCATTAATAGGAATTTATTTAATTTTGCTGACCTTTGTTAGCTTTGAAGTGCCTTCTGAGAAAAGTGGTGATATTCAATATGAGTATTAGAAAAATAGTAGAAAGTACTTACATACAGTTTTGAGGCATTCTGATATCTTTCTACCAGTCTAGATACTATTTTATAAATAATTCCCCTTAAATTGGGGCAGATATTCCTCTCTCTGTGTACATATTTTAAACTGGATCCAGAGATCCTGACTGAGAGAATTATGGGTTACGTTTCTTGACTTTATATATGTACTTTAGCTTTCTTTATTAGCAAAGTACTCTTGGAAACTAGAGACTATTTTGTTTTTAGCGTATTTGCCACATAAGTACTTTTTCTTTCTTTACATAAACTTGTTAAGTTTATGGTTAGATTTAAGTTCTATTTTATTTTTTTCTAGTTTAACTTCTTTTACATCACAGACCATTTTGTTTTTATTTTTCTATAATAGTTGTATTTAAACTTTAAATGAATTCATACAGAAATCATCAAGTTTGAAATACGGCTGGTCAATATAGTAAATTAGGGAGCAGCAACCTCTGTGTTCCTGACTGCCAAAATGCAACATAACCACTTCAGTTCCTGCTGGAGGACATGAACAAAAGAAAGGAAAGACATGAAGAAGAGAGTGTGAGGGAGTAGGAGAACAGAAAGGCCAGAGAAATCTGAGGAGAAGGGGTCTTAGGTAAAGCTGGTATCATCATGTCAGCAGTTGCCAGATGCTGCAACCAGTTCCACAGTCACTCATCACTGAACTAGTCTGGGGTTGGAGGAGGCATACAGTGTTGGATGAATGGTACAGTTCTAGCCCTTACGGAGCTTATAATCTTTCAGAGAAGACGATCACTTAAATATTTAATTATAAAATGTTATAGATGTTAGACAAGGCAATATAGAGTGTAAGAATATATACCTGCTTGACTCCCAACCTGCTTGTTCTCAAGAACTACTTTGAGATGTCACTCTAAGTATGAAGTCATGCTCTGTCTTAAAGGGTTTGCTCTACTCTGAGTTCTTTTCAAAGGAATAGAGAACAGTCTCAACATATATGTAATTTTGAGGCAGTTTGAAGTTCTTTTACCAGTCTGGGTATTATCTTTGACATTCCCTTTAAATTGGGCCAAATGTCTCTTTTCTCTGTGTATATATTTAACTGGATACATAGATCCTAGACTATATTCTATTTTTATGATTTGTTTTAAAATAAAACTCCATTAAATCAAAACTCTAGTACCTAAATAAATGTAGTGCCCTATATTGTAAATGCTGACTGGAAAGAGTAGAAGTTAAGACTTTAAGGTGATTTTTATGAAATAGTTTATGTTAGAAGGTAATGACTTCCTTACTCCTGAAATATTCAAGCAAAGACTTGGTGACTTTCAAAGACATAAAAGTAACTTTTGAGTGGGAGATTGGACTAGGTGGCTTTTATTCTTTGTACTGTAACTCACAATTTACAGTGAAAACTTGTGTTTTCTTCTAGTGCATTATTACAGGATTTGAGAAAACAGTTACTATCAAGTGCTTGTCCATGTTATTGATAAATTTCTACAAAGATGTAGAATAAAAAACAAGATTTTTATTGATTGCAGATAGGGCAACTGTATATGTAGATTTTCTTAAGTATGCCAAAGATTTAAGGGTTGCTGCAGTGGAGTTTAGGGCAGTTCTTTTAAGCTAATAACTGTTGTTACAGCCTTCCTATTATACATTATATAAAGAAGAATGGATTGGTGAGTACATCTTTGACTTGGATGTTGTGATGTGTGGAGTTTATTCTAAGGGTAAAGGAATGTTGTGGAAGAGTAGAGGCAGTTCTGAGAAAAGAGTTAAGGTGAGGTTCATATGTTTATAGCAAAATCAAAGGGTGTTTAAAACATACAGGTGTGTTTCAGACCTCAGTAATGTAAATCTAATTTATTTCCATTTTTTCACTGCATTTTAAATTAGTGATTTGTTCAAAAGAATATGTTGATCAGATTTTTATAGTGGTAGTTCTAAATGCATTCAGAAGAGGAAAAATTTTTAAGATCACTTTTCTCCCTCATTCAGATGCTTCACCTTTTGTTTATGAATATGCCATTGATCTTTTTAATATTTAGCAAGAACAGTTCTCTTAGCTGATTTGAACTAGATCTTATAAATTATTGATAATTATGTTATATCACTGTGTGAAACAAAAATAAAACTTAGCCAAGCAGTCCTTCTAATTTTTCTGTGGTACAGTAACATGGAAAAAAATTACTCCCTTCTTTCTTAGTGCAGTAGTATAGTATCTCTGAAATTTAATGGATTTTTCCCTTCCTTTCCCATATCTTTTATTATACTGTACATAGTAAGTGTTTCTAAAGGAAGTTTTTTGGATTATCTTTAAAACTGAAGACGTTTAACCACAATATTCATATAAATATGTCTGAATTTTACATACATTATTTATTATGACTTTTCTTAAGCTTTGTTTTTATATATACGACATCTTATTGGGAAGGGGTTTTTCAATACTCATTTCAGGCAGTTTCTTTACATTCATTTAAAAACAAAAATGTAGGCAGTTTTATTGCCTTTGAATTTGAAAAAGTAAATGCATTACAAGTTGATTTTGCCATTGCCTTAAGACTTAGGTTTTTAACATTTTTATTCAAAATTTGAATTTTAGTTTGGGAAGAACAACAGTGGTAGTAGTAGTAATTGATAGTGTTACTAATTGACTTTAGTAGGGGCAGTAGCTGCCACATTCATAATAGGAGGAGGTGGATGCCTGTATTTGGCAGGTAAGAAAACAGCAGCTTAGAGAGAGAAAATACCTTATTAGTGGCTTAACTGCAATTAGAAACCAGGTTTGCCAACCCATTGTTGTTTCCATAATAATATACAGTCTTAATCTGGTGTTTGAGATAATGGCTGTGAAAGTACCTTAGTATAGATAAAGTATGCAAAGATGAAGTGTAAGTGTAGTATAAAATGAATTCTGGCCTCAATTTACTAAAATGCTGAATGTGAAAATGATTGTGTTTTGGCTAATGGCAGGAAAGACAGGACAAGTAGTGTCAAGTATGTATGTTAAATCACAATGTTTCACCCATCTGGTACAGTGTTTTGTGGTTGGATTAGCATTGTGACATTAGTGGTTCCTGACCCTTACTTCACTGCTTAGGTAGGACATCTGGGCATGCAAATATGGCAGGTTGGTAGTCCTTTTCAATCTCCACCTGTTTTGTTTTTATCACCCAGGGTTGATGTGTTTTGCAGTCAGAGATGGTTAAGAAGTCAAAGATTTCTTTTTGAGTCAAAGCATAAAAGTTCCATGCTATAGAAGCTTAAAATTTTTAGTTTACGAAAAGCAAGACATGCAAATGCTGAACTGTTAAACTGAGAAGTAAGTAGGCCTTCTAAATAAATAAATGTTTACACCACGCCCAGAGTGTATCATTCATGCCAAGGGTGAAAGTGAGTAGGGAAACTTAAGACAGAAGTGTTGTCACTTTTACTTAGAGAGGGCCCTCTTAGAAGAGAATTTTGAGGTTCCTTTTCCCCCCCCTTTTTTTTTAAGGGAGGAGGAAGAAAATGGCAGCTAATGGGGTGGGTAAGGGAAAGAAGAACTAAATAGAATATGAAGTTAAGATTCAGCGACTGGAGGAAGGAACCAAACAAAATGTAGAGGGAATATCGGAGGTAATCTAGTTTGTTTTGTGTTATGTTCCTTTAGCTAAATTACTGTTGCCCTGGAGGTGATTGGGGGCCATAATGGATGGGGTTTTGGGGAGAAAAGAAAGTGATTCTGAAGAGCAGGTTAAATCCTAATTTGAGCAGCAGCATGTGTAATTGATGAGAAGAGAGATTGATGTACCACTATTCTTGGAGAATTTAGATAATTTAAATAGACCTATTATTTTTTAAAAGTACTATTTTTACTTTAAAAATTGAAATGTCATGTATGAAAGATGAAGTATCTTTTGTACTATTAAACAATATTTAGATTTATTTCAAATTTTCTTTTTCTCTAGGGTTTGGATTCAGGATTTGTTCCTAGTGTCCAAGACTTTGATAAGAAGCTTACAGAGGCTGATGCTTACCTGCAAATCTTGATAGAACAATTGAAGGTATGGCATTAAGTTATATGTTGATATGAAGTATTAGTAAATGATACTGACCTTGATTTTGAATAAAAACAGTTACCTGTTAATTTACAACCCTTAGGTTATTATTCAGCAATTTTTAAACCTGATTTATTAAAAGATCTGGGAGATTCATTTAAAGATCTTTATCTCTAATCTAAATATATTGGTAAATAGCATATGTATGTACTTTTTTGGACTTAAAAAAGGCAAATATCTAGACAAGATTAGATTCATATTCTGTTTAAAAATTCTATGAAATGTACATTTTAAGGCCTTGTTTTTTTTCTATTTTGGAGAGGGGGTTTGGGAGAGGTGAGTACTTTAATTTCTTTATCCTTACTAGAATTTTCTTTAAAATTTATTATAAGCAAAGGTCCTGGGAAGAAAAAGGAGTGTTAATAAACTTGGATGACAAAGCAGAAAAAACTTAGGTTCAGATTGACATTTTAAGTTCTTAAAAGTCATCTGTTGCTTATAATTCTATCAGAGTATTTGATCTTGACTATTTAATATAATTGAGTGGAACTTGACTTGATATAATGCTTTGAAAAAAATACATGTTGTCTTAATAATACATATAAATTATCCCTGTAAGGTGTTTTAAGAACTAAAGCTTGCTTTTCTGTGTTTAGTAAATAGACTTAGCTGTAAATCTTGATAGAACGATTGTAGTAAAGTGGCCTGATTCTATAATCATTTTTTTTAGAGAATTTTGGAGAAATACCAGAAGAACCTCAGTGTTGTGACTATTATAATGGCACTTTGCTCTGTTGTGATAGTGCTACTACATAGACTTCAAGGGGAGTTTTCTGGTGAGTTTCTGTTATGGTCCATAGTTAAGCAAAAGGATAACATGCAAAATTTTAATGATACGCTCTTTGAAAGTACCACCTCCTTAGGAGTTCTTTTCTCTTCAGGTGTCATGTTGAAGGTAGAAAGTTATTTTATTAAATTCACATGTGGTCACTTAAGATATTAATAAACCAACTGGCAAGAATTTTCAGAATAAACAAGAAGCCACAAATAAGGAAACAAAATGAGTGTTGCTTTAATTATAGTCTTGCTACTATTTTTTCCCCCTTTGGATTTCTGACTACTACTTTGTAGTTTGAACAGTGTTTCCTTTTTTCAGTTAACATTTGTCCTCTTCTTGACTAGATTTTCTGATGTAGCATCATTTTGTTTGTTTGTTTGTTTTGCATTTTTGTTGACCATAGCTTTGCATTTTGGCTCCTTTACATTTGATAGTAGTAGTGACTCATGCTTAGCTCGCCTTCCATTCTTAGTTGTGAAATTTAGTCTAGTTCCATGTCATTTTTAAACGTGATAGCAAAGTTTAAGGTGATTCTAAAATAAGCATTTTAAAATCACATAGTCTGTAGAAAAGACAAAACTTGTTTTCAGGTGTGGAATGAGAATGCTTTATGTTATTCTTACAGATCTTGAATCGAATCTCATGAATTCTGTTTGAGGATATAATCCATAAAAATGTCTGAATTTTTCTAAATGTTTGGTTTAAATAAAAAACAAAGTATAGAAAGTACTCTCTTTCTAGCCAGCCTACATTCACTTAAAGTAATGAGTACATTTGGTAAAATTCTGTAAATGACTAACCAATAAAAAACAACAGTATCTGTTTGTGTTTTTGATGATTTCTGATTAAACTTACTATTTTTCACAGAAAATTGAAACTCTCAAAGAGACAACAAATGTAAGTTATATGTTTGATTAAACTCTAGCTTTGCCTTAGAAAGTGCTTTAAGATGTAATTTCTATTTTAAGCTGAGAGTATTTCTAAAAAGCAATCGAGACTTTAATTTTTATGAATTTTTACTAGGGTATTTAAGAATTATATTATTTTCTAAAGGGATTTAAATGAATACAATAATCCCTCTAATTGAAATTGACTACCTTTATCACTTTTATCTGTTTCTGGTCTTGTCTGAGATCCTTGGATAAAAGGTGTCATCTGTGTATAGGGTATAATACTCTCTTATAATTGAAACATTGAGATTCAAGTTTTCTGATACACTGGCCTTCTGACATTATATAATGTGGTACTAATAAGATTTGTATCTTGATAAAAGCATTCTAAAAACAGGCAAAATAGTATTCCACATTTGCCAGTATTTTTGATAGGATTGTTTACTCTATAATTGTGTAAAAGTTTTGAGTAGATGTTTGAGGAATTTACATTGAAATTGCCTCATGTTGATTTAAGAATTTGCAGTTATTTTTGTTTAAATATTGAAAACCATTTGGATGTTATTCAGTATAAATCAACAATTTCTTGCTGTTCTTTAACAATTCATAGAATTGAGCATTATAATTCATTTGACACCAGCAACATATTTGAATCCACTGGTGATCCGGAGAGGGTATTTCTTGTGTAGTATAGCCTTAAACCCTGTACATTTGAATTGATTTTTGTACCTTAAGCTTTAATATTGTATGACGATTTTATTCAGGGCAAGATCCTAAAATCAGTGTTCTGTTTTTATAGAGCATGGTAGAATCAATTAAACACTGCATTGTGTTGCTGCAGATTGCTAAAGTAAGTAAATTTTACTTTTACTTAATAGCCAAAAGAACTCGATTCTGAAACATACTACCATTCTACAGTAAATTGTATTGTGGGTTTCCTGGTACTATTGAACAAGTATTGTGTTGGATGTTACCTTTAAAGCATGTGCCTGCTTTTGATAAGGTAATTTCTGATGGTGGCTGTGAGGGAGGGGGACACATTGGAATGACTCACCCCTTCCTTCCATTTTATCCATTATCACTGCTTGAAACAGAGACTTATTTTGCAAGACCTTTCACAAAAAAAGTTTTTGTTGGGAAAAAGGAATTCACTTTTACTAGAGTTCTTTTTTCTCATACATAATGAGGATTATAATAGACATATATATTTTTTAATTTTGTTACAAAAATTTTTTTCTGATACTGAACTACATTAACGAACCACTGCTTTAATTGCTGTTCCTTATCAATGAAAAATATTTTGAATTATCGTGGTAGGTTAAAAATTTCATGGATACTGTCTGCTTTTCTGAAAATTTTGGTGTATTCACCCTAAATATGTAATTTGATTGAGTGATACTTTGAGAAACAAGAATTTTAGTGTTTGAAAATAAAAATTAAAAAAAATTTCCCCCCACTATCTCTACCTGACTGTACCTGGCTAGAAGGGTGTGGGCAACCATTTCAGCAGTCAAGTTTAGAAGTGATGTTTGTGTGAGTTTTTAATTACTGGTATTTTATTTACTCAGTTGCTTGTATTCGTTTGCCCAACAGTGGGCATTTTTGAACCTAGCATTATTTATGACACAGTAGTAAAGGACAACCTCTCTGTGCTTAGATATTAAGGATATTCAGCTTATAATTTAAAGTGGGGCAATGTCATTTTTTTTGAGGCTGTATTCAGTATTAAAGTGTCAAAACCTAAGTGCTTGTGTTCACTATCTAGGTATTTTTGACCGCTATGTCTGGTTTCCTATATATGTGTCTAAATCTTTCATCTACTTTGGTGCATCAAAATATATTCTAAAGACTAAGGGAGGACAGAGTTGGAGACATAAAAGGGTTAAGGTTTTTGTTTTGTTTCTCTTGACTGAAATTACTGGGTAGGTGGGGAGGGAGCTGGGACTGGCTACAGTCACCCAGAGGCCTAGGTATAGATAACCAGTAAACTACATCATACCTAGTACCAGTAGCTAGGTATTTTAGGGATTCACATTACTTACTTTAAAAGATTGAGGAAGTAGAAGAGGTGATAGTATTTAGACCAGTTTAGGTGATGTCTGCAAACCATTCAGTACTTGAGATAGTTGTAAATGGCAGCCTGGTCTCTTTCAGTAGCTCACCCTTTAGAAGTACATCACGTACATTTTTGGTATTTTGTCTTTGGAATGAGTTACAATTCAAATTGCTAAAATTCCTTTCACAAAATTCCTACAATTTAGTCTTTTTTTGGGTCCAGCTTGGTCATTTCAAGGTCCTTCTGAATGGATAACATGGATTAAGTAAATGGAATTTGGCTTTTTAATTTTTTCCAGAAAAGTTTTATTGTTAAGTCCTTTTATGTACATCCCTTTAAATTATATATGTGCCCTATAGGAACTCTGTATCTTTAAACCTAATTTAAATGTAAATCAGTCATGCCTGCTATCCTCAGTGGTTTCCCATTTCCTTTGGAATGGAATCTAAACTGCTTACTGGAACTTAATACTCTCTCAGCTCATGGACCCTTTCGTGATCACACCATTCTAACATTGGCCTGTTTTCCTTTTCTCAGGCCAAGCTATTTCTGCTTCAGGAATTTGTATTTGTTTTCCCCTCTGCCTGCAAGGATCTCTCCCAGATCTCTAGGGCTCACCTCCCTCACCTTACTCAAATTTTTGGCCACATGAAATCTCTTTGGAGAGACTTTCGTGACCACTCTTTCTGAAATAATCTCCACTTCACTTTTATGTCTTTTTCATGGCCTTGCATCACTAGCCAGATTTACATGATACCGTGTTTATTGTCCCTTTGCACCTGACTGTAGTCTCCAGTGTTCTGTTGTTATAGAGCATGGCAGAATCATGCTTTGTCTCATTTACCATTCGTGTCAGTCTGCTCAGGCTGCCGTAACAAACCACCACAGACTGGGTAACTTAAGCAACAGAATTTTATTTTCTCACAGTTTTGGATGCTTGAAATCCAAGATTAAGGTTCCTACTCATTCAGCTTCTGGTGAGGGCTCTTTTATCCGGCTTATAAACGGCCTCCTCCTCAGTATGTCCTCACAAGGCCTTATCTTGGCGTGGGGGTGCGCGCACAGGAGTAGGAGGGCGAGGGAGCTCTAGGGTCTCTTGTAAGAACACTTACTGGGTCAG